TGCCTCTTTTCTACTCATCCCTTGCACCATCCTGCCCTACACCCATTGAGTATAAGTTACACCAGATTAGGGATCTTGTTTGCCTTCCTCAGTATTGTAGTCTAGCACCTAGAATAGTGCCCAAAGTAGAGATGCTCAATGGACATGTGACAGATGAATGAATGACAGAGTGAATGAGCAGTCTTGGGGTTGAAGCACTGTGCCATTCCAGAGCTGTCATTCTTCACATCTTGTTCAAGGTGAATGTCACTCTGGCAGTTGTGTCAGTCCACAGAGTATGGCAAGAAATAGGCCAGAAACCATATGCAGCTAGCATATACACACTGCTCAGGCCTTATGTGTCTCTAACACATCCTGTTATATTTGTGAGCTGGCCATAATTTACCTCTCTCCTGATATAGAAAACAGGGGGAAATGGTTTACACCTCATGATTAAGCTCATTCTTCAAATAACTGAGTATATATTCACATTAAGAACTTCATATATTGATACTACTGTGTCAACTATTCTATAAATAAAGTTAATATTTTTAACAATGATTAAGGATTCGGATTTCCAACTATAAATTAGTCCACTGTAAATTCTTTGGTCATTCCTCAGTCTTAGCTTTCCAACAAATAACTCAAGTTGCTGACTCGGGAGTGGTCAGTTCTGTGATTTGCCAATTGTAATCTGCAGTTTAACAGAGCCAAAGTATTTTAAGAGTCTGGAAATAGACTTCAGTAAGATGGCACAGAATGCTACACTGACCTTCATACACATCACTCTGATGAAAAGTACACCTTCCCATTTGGTAATCCCCATCAACTGGAATACAGAAACCCAACTCTTTGGAACAGGTTATACTTCCAACATTAACTGACATGAACATTAAAAGCCTATTTTATATTTCTGATTTATTCTATGGTAATCACCATCAGCAGGGCAACCAATGAAATTCCAACTGAAGGCCTATGGTGAACACCAAACCCAAGAAGCAACTGTGCCACTGCAGAATTACAGGGATAATGGAAACCTGAAGTAAAACCACGCCAATATCCATCTTCCATCTTGTTTTCATCCTCCCTAAGCATCTACATGCCACAGTGATTTTCAGACTTCACTTGCTTAAGCAGCAGACTGCCTCCATTCAACAAAAATTTGTTAAAAACTAAATAAATAAAATATATAAAAGCTGAACTGTTGACTGGCAGAACAATAAGAACAGTAAGTACCTCTTCTGTGGTACTCGGGAATTTCAAGGTTTCAATAAGAAATCAACTCTGAAAAGCAATGGTCTAAGTGAGGAAGAGGATGATTTAATAATGATAGCATAAAGGAAGAAAAAATAACAATATATCATGGAGCAAGCTTCATAAGACTTTTCTAAGTAAAACATTTCTGATAAATGTTTACCTGTCTCTTTTGGCTTAACCACTGAGCCCACCCTCAGCTCTTTTTATTTTTATTTGCGACATCTCTTAAAAGTTGCTCAGGACCTCAATAAGTTGCTAAGGCTGGTGGCCTCACTAAATTGCTGAGGCTGGCTTTGAACTTGTGATCCCCCTGCCTCAGCCTCCTAAATAGCTGGGATTACAGGTGTGTGCTATGGCACTCAATGAGGCTTATTTGTTGAAGCCTCCATGTTCAGAGCAGGGCTTAAGGAACATGAATGGGTCATGAGGGCTCTAACTTCATCAGTGGATTAATCTATTGATGGATTCATAGCTGAATAGACTATTGGAAAGATACAGAAACTCTAGGAGGTGGAACCTAGTACCTAGTTAAAGGAAGTTGAATTGGGGATTATATTCTGTGCACACCTTTATGTAGCCAAGAAAGAGGAGGGAAAAAGGTTTAACTAACTTGTATAGTGAACTAGGAGGGTAAATCACCTGCAAATCAGGATTTGAAAGACTACACCTAACTACATACATAAAAGCTTAAGTTACTTGTCACAGATGGGCCACCTTGAAGAAAGAAAAAGGAGGTCCCAAGATTACCCATTCAAAACAGAATTTCCAATGCATCACGCACAATCATGCACAGTATTTGGATTGGAAAATTTACAAGCCAAGTTCATCATTTGATATAATACAGAAAGTGAATGAAACTGGATTTTCTCATCCATCAATGATAACCATCATTTGTTATTTTATAAGATACATGAAAGTGGCAATTACAGAGTTCTTGTTTATTTGAATATATCTATCCTACTGTTGATTAATCTGGTGAGACTGCAATGGAGCTAAATAAGGATTAGGCCCACCTAACAGCAGGATGGACTCACTTATGCTATTGCCTATATGGAATATTTTGTAGCCACTGAAAGTACATAATAATATTTAAGCATCTGGGAGAAAAACTGTATTTATACTAAGTAAAAATGAATATAGAAGACTATGATTTTAATTTTGTTATTTTAAATGGAATACATATTCATAGGAATAAAAATGGAAATATGTATACCAAAATATTACCAGTGGCTGAGTGGTGGTTGGTTCTATTATGTTTACACTTTTCAACATTTGCCAAATTTTCTATGTAAAATCAGAAAAAAAAATTAACACAAAATAAAATCTTACACAGAGAAAAGATGCGATATACCTAAAATTCTGTGATTTGTATGTAAATGTCAGAGCTGTTCTTAACTGTATGACTGTGTGGCCAAATTCCAGTCCCAACTTGTGGATGGAACAGCTGCTCAATGCAACTGCTAAGGTGAGTCAGCCTAATTGCTACAAGCATCTGGGAAAGCCCCGTGTGGGAAATGACACAACCCCGCGCAGACACACCTTCCAGTTCTCAAGAGCCACTCAGTCTGTCATAAACCAGAATTACTACTTCTATGATGAAGCCTCACCAGTGCACAGCTCCAGTCCCATCTAGAAGCCTCCACTTAAGCAGATGAGGCTTATTCAACTGTTTAAGACTGCTTTCGTAAGAATGCAAAATATAAGAAAATTTAGACGGTTTGCCATCTAAATGTCACAGCTGTGTACTGTCAGTGAGGCTCTGGAATCATCAGAGACACAGCCTATGAAATCAACAGATCCAGGTTCAAGTTGGCTCCCCCATTTTCTAACTGTGTGAATGTGACACAAGCCTCAGTTTATTCAGCTTTCAACGAAATTGACCACACCGATTTCCAGAATTTTAGTGAATATTTAAAATATAACAGTAAGTACAGCATCTACTAACCTAATAATGCTTCAGAAGTCTAAACACATAGAATTTTAAAATCATGTAGCCCCTTATCAGGGAGAAAAATGGATGCTATACAGTCTTTCTTAAAAATATTTTTTATAGTAGATGGGCATAATACCTTTATTTTATTTTTATGTGGTGCTGAGGATCAAACCCAATGCCTCACGCATGCTAGGCGAGGCACTCTACCAACTGAGATATAACTCCAGCCCTGGATGCCGTATATTCTTAAAATCTAAATCATCCAGGACAACTTGTCAGCCCTATACACTTAAAGTGGTCAATGAGCCAATGCAAAGCACTTGAACAGGAGGTCCATTTTTTATTCTACTAATTTATCTATTTTTTCAATGCTGGAGATGGAACCCAGGACCTTACACATGCTAGGCAAGTGCTCTACCACTAAGCCTCATCCCAACTCTGGGTGGTCTATATTTTAAAGGATATAAGCTCTGAAACAAGTTTGTGAACTGGAAAAATCATATCATTCTTCTCTGTATCATCTTCTCTAAGCCCACACTGAATAAAACAGGGCAATGGTGAAAATGGCACCACAGACCCATAGGAAATGTAGAAGCTGGAAATGTAGAAGCACTGCCTTCTATGCTGTCACCACGATCAAACAGGATCAGTAAAGACAGCAGAGCCTACGTTAGAAAGAGGATATATTTCAATAATACCTCATAATACTAATATATCCTCACAGAAATTATGAAAATAATAAATGCTGAAAATATTTAATCCTAATATCCTAAACAGAATATTGTAACTATAATTATAAACCAAGTAAGATACCATGAAATGGAAGGCAAAGAAACAATGATAAAAAACTAGAGTCAATGATTAAAAATTCTAAATGATTGAAATATTCTAAAGAATTAGAATATTTTTAAAACACTGCTTCAAAAAAAGGAGACAGCACAGTGTATTACTTTCATAGTACATAATTTGAGACAGACTTAGTGCTGAATCCTATTTCTGCCAATTACTCTATGAGAAATAGTAGGTCAGTTATTTAACCACTTAGAACATCCATTTCTTTATCCACAAAAAGGGACTTTCTAATGCTTCCACAATGGCATAACAACCAAAGATATGTAAACTTCTTGGCACAGGGTACATTTCTAATGTTCTACATTGGCAGAAAAGAAAAAAAAAAAAAAACTCTATAGGACCAAGGTAACATACAGCCTGACAGGCTACACCAAAAGAAAAGAGATAATGCATCAAAAGCTGGATGTCCACTGAAAGATATAGGACATAAAATAATGGTGACCTGACCTAGGTGATAAACACTGTTGAAGAGATAAAAATTAAAGGCTGTTTAAGCCAGAAAATGAAGTGGGCACTTATCACTGTAACCTGAAGGAGTCAAGGAGACAAGCAGGTTAAAGTAAATGACTACAGGAAACAAGTCAATCTGATGCAATCCCTGCCCAATCAGAAATGGTTTTCATGACGCTCAGGATAAGAGGAAAGCCAATAATGAAAGCCAGTTCAAGGGGCACACATTTGCTCCTAGGAAAGAAGGCAATGAGACCTAGGCTAGAAATTTCCTATCACTTTCATTTGGACAGAGTCAAAGGTTATCACTACCTTCTTCACTGTCCTTCAGACAATAGGAAGGACCCTGAAGGTGCTGAGAAAGAGCTGCCCCAGCAGTGAAGAATGACATCCCAGTACACCATCAAGGGTAAGAAACAACAGACACTTGTGACTAAGCAGTCTCCATTCCCAGAGAACAGCTCACCTTGACTCAGTACAGCACAGTGGGCCACACCGAGTTCAGTCCACGCTCTCCATTACTACATACCTTGGACTGCTATTGTTTTGCATCTACCAAAAGGTTCCTTTAAAATTATTCTCATGTACGCTTCCTGAGGCAGGGTCTTGTCTTGTATATCATAAGTTTCTCAACCGGACACTTTTGTGCATCCCCAAGAACTCACTGGTGTGCCTAGAACAGAGGAACATTCAAGCTTAACAACTCCAAAGTGGAATCATAAAATTCATAAACTAAAAGAACCTTAGAATTCAGTATAGTTCACTGTAAATAAAAGCATTAAAGTATTCATTAGGTTGGAAACAAAAAATTCACAATGGGCCCTCTCCACCTCTCATCCTCCATTTTTCTTATTTTCTATTTTTAGCCTTTTATTTTTTATTGGCATAAAATATATACAACATAAAAGACAGCACTTCAAACTGAAAACAAAGGTAAACTACTGAGTTAACCTCTTTATAAGATGACTTATAAAAAGATGGTCATCTCTCTGAGGCCAAAATGTTACCCTCACAAATGATATCTTTTATATTTATGTGTATACAAAAGGCTGTGTGCAAAAACCAGGAAGCTGGCACCTAATAAAGAATAAAGACCATTGTTCATTTAGTCCCTCATTCATAATTTGTATTTACATGTGAAAGATTATGAAATGTAATTGTAACTAGGAAGTAGTGTTTTTATTTTGATCATGTCAGTAACACCTCTTTTTTACGCTGTGTTAATCTATATAAATGTGGATCTTTAATCCTTTCAGGTTCACAAAAGTGCGATATCATTGAGTATCTGAGGAAAAGACTGTCCCATTCTCCCCACTTAAATTTCAAGACACTAATAAGCTCCTTTGAAGTCATCTTGGTGGGGAGGGGATCATAGGGGGGTCCCATGTGAAAACTGATACAAGTGATATCTTGAGCAAAGTAAGAGATTTAATTCTAAAAAACAATTCTTAGAGCAAAAAGAAACCATTCTCCCCTCACCCCTTCTGCCTCACCCCCAGGGCTGAAGGGCAAACTCAGGGCCTTGCCCGTGGTAGGCAGGCACTCTCTCTGCCACTGAGCTAAAATCTCCAACCCCTAAACTGCTCTCTTGATAGTTCTTCAGAACCTCATTATACTTGGCAATCTCCCACATTTAATTATTCTGTAAAAAATCAGGCTACACCTGCAAATAATTAAGTACAATCACAAAAAGCAGGTGCCATAACTAACATAAAACAAAACTAGGATACTCCTGCCATTAACTTAAAAGTATTCGATTAAATCTTCAAAGTTAATATTGTTTCACGTGACAATAATCTCAGTTTATTTTGAATAAGAAAATAATATTGGAAAGTAAAAATGTCATTTGGGGATGCTTGTGGGTCACTTAACAAACTATCAAAAAGAAAGCAAAGAAATAGATTTTAAAAATTATTTTGAGAGGTTGAACCTAACAGAAGGAAATATGAGATAACTTTTTAAAAAGTCTCTAAAATATAATTTTCAAAAGCAATATAAATTTGGGGGTTATAGATAGCCAATAGAATAGGCCTGTTTATCTCTGCTTCTCTCTTAATCCCCATTATAATGATAGTAAAGAGAAAAAGAGAATCCACAAAGACAAAAGGATAGGACAGACAACAGACATCAAAGGGACAGCAGACACCTCTGGGACAGCAGAGGTGACTACAGAGTCTGAAGAGCAAAGAAAAGCCAGCTAACTGGCCCTGAAAGGCCAAGGAAGGCAGCTTCCTATTCCTCAGAAGAAAAGAGTCTGAAGGGGACTGAAAAGAGCAGGCTGTCTATATAAAACACACATGTACCCTTCTATCATATTTTAAAATTAACTCAAAATGGCTTAAAGTTCTAGAATTAAGATCTGAAACAACTTTCTGAAGACTGACCATGAAAATAGCACAAACACACACAAAAAAAGATTTTTTTTTTTAAAGAGAGAGTGAGAGAGGAGAGAGAGAGAGAGAGAGAGAATTTTTATTATTTATTTTTTAGTTCTCGGCGGACACAACATCTTTGTTGGTATGTGGTGCTGAGGATCGAACCCAGGCCGCACGCATGCCAGGCGAGCGCACTACCGCTTGAGCCACATCCCCAGCCCAAAAAAAAAAGATCTGAAACAATAAAATGCATAGAAGAAAACCCAGGGAAAGCTTTATAAGACATGGCGCCATTGGATTTGGCAATGGATTTCTTGTACATAGCACCCAAAGTATAGGCAATAAAACAAAATAAACAATGGGACTACATAAAATGTGAAGATTTTCATACAACAAAGGGACCAATAAACAGAGTGAAGAGGCAACCTATGGAATGGGAAAAAATATCTTTTGTGTTGGTAAATCTTACAGGATGTTAAAAAAAAAAAAAAACTCCTACAACTGAACAACAAAAACTCCAATAAACCTATTAAGAAATGGACAGAGGACTTGGAACAGACATTTCTCAAAACATGATGTACAATGGTCAACAAGCACATAAAAAGTTGCTTAGCATCACTAATCATGGGGAAACTGGAAATTAAGACCACAGTGAGATATTACTTCCCACCCATTCAAATGGAATACAGAAAACAGTGTTGGCAAGGATGTGGAGAAACTGGAATCCTTGTATACTCTTGGAGAAATGTAAAGTGGTATAGTCACCAGGGAAAACAACCAGGCAGTTCCTCAAAATATTAAAAATGAAACTGCTGATTCAGCAATTCCACTGGGGGTATTCATATGAAAGAATGGAAAGCACTGACTTGAAGACATATTTACACACCCTTGTTCACTGCAGCACTGTTCAAGAACAGTGCACCATTTAGGTGGTAAATGGGCATTGACAGATGAATACATGAATAAAATATTATATATGCACACAATGGACATAGTATTCAACTACAAAAAAAGAAGAAACTTCCATCATTTGCTATAACATGGGTGAGCTTTGAAGTCATTATGCTAAGCTAAACAAGCCAGTCACAAAAAGACAAATACTGCCTTCATTCCACTTTTATAACTTAAAGAAACAAAAAGTAGATGATGATTGCCCAGGGTAGAGGAAGGAGAGAAACAGTAGCCGTTTAGTGGGTAGGGAGCTTTAGTTTTACAAGATGAAAAAAAATTCTAGAGCTATTTTGCACAATAATGTGCATGTGGTTAACACTACTGCACTATACAAATTTTATATTGTGCTTTTTTACCACAATGAAGAAAAATTGGGGACATTTTCCTGGATTATCTGAATAGGTCCAGTATAATCACAGGGTTCTTAGAAGTAGAAAGGATAGGTAGAAAATCAATTAGAAAAATGCAATGTGAGCTATATTTGGCCTACTATTGCTGCCTTTAGTGATGGAAGAGGGTCATGGGACAAGGCAACTTCCAAAAGCTGGGAAAGTAAGAAACTGAGTTTTCTCCTGAGCCTCCAGAAAGGCAGGAGGATCTCCAAGTTCAAAGCCAGTTGCAGCAATTTAGCAAGGCCCTAAGCAACTTGGTGGGGCCTAGTTTCAAAATGAAAAATAACAAACAACTGGGGGTATGGCTCAGTGGTTAAGCACCCCTGGGTGAAGGGAGGGAGGGAAGGAGGAAGGAAGGGAGGGAGGGAGGGAAGGAAGGAGGAAGGA